GTGACATTTATCACAGTATGTACTGATGGGAAGCTGTAATGACACCATACGCTCTCCTTCTCTTCATTCTTTTCCTGTTCATAATTTCCTTCAATATTCGCCTACTTCCATTAGACAACACCTTAAAAACATTCTTGACCTCTATACTACCGACTTCCTTGTTTACATCTGTGAACTGTGCACTGCGTGAGGTTTTGTTGGTCTTCTGCGCATGCCGGTCACATCAGAGCCATGTTCAGTTCACACTGCAGTCTGATCTTGGCCACATTCTGAAAGATAACATGAACGGCAACAGAATACAAATCAGATATAGAAAAAAAAAAATCATAAGAGCACTAAGGCTTGCAGTGTGAACGTAGCGCCAGAAGTGAACAATGTGAAGTTTTTACAGCACAGTGTCGGCAAACTGGGTTTAATATCACCATCTTTGCCAAATTATTACGGCATATTACCAAAAAAACAAGTCAGAGTCCTCGCCTCCAGTGTCCAAGTCCAAATGCAGTCAGTGCTCAAGTCCAAGTCGAGTCACAAGTCTTGAAAATCGGGGCTCAAGTTGGACTCAAGTACTGCAACACAGTCATGAAGAGGCTGAGCATTTAGAGCATTTGCATATCTTCACTTTTAATGTATAGACTCTGCTAGATCATTTCAGACTACAGAATTTTTACCAGATACATTTGCGCGCACGCACACACACACACACACACACACACTGGCCACTGCGCAATACTCACTATTACGAGACATGCTGAGGATTGAGGAAGAGAGCAGGTCATGGCAAGCTCTGCTAGAAGCTTACACATAAGTAAAACACAGTATGTGCCATTTCACCTTAGTTTAAAAATGACTACACTGTACCACAATCAAAACACTTAAACATCATTTTTCACCGAACTTATTTTAATGAGAACACTACACAGCTACCAATGAACTCATGAGCGTAAGTGCTGCATGGTGAGGACTGCGGTCACTCCGGACAAGCGAGTTTTTTATGGTCACAGGAAGAGAGGGCCATTGAAACAGAGAGGCACTCGGGGCCTAAGCTGTGGGTTACAGTGGTACTCTCACCAGCAGTGGGCTAAACAATCCACAAGCAATTTCAGTAATTGCTGAGTTAGGACAATGCAGACAAAACAAAAGGGTCAGTGTCACACCACTCTGCCTTCCTTGTAATTTCTCCACTGCAAAGACATCATCTTCCACATGTCACACACACCTCACCACAATTCTTACTTGTCCTTCAGCTCCCTTCTTTGCTGCTCTGTAAATGAAATCCAAATTCTTAGTCCCTCTATAGGAGAATGGGAAGGAGGAAGCAAAAACAACCTTAGGAAATGCACCAATATCCTGTTACTAGGTTTGTTGCAGATACCCAAAGGATGTAAACCTACTAACGGTGCAGAGAAAAAACGGTCCAAAGGCAGATGTCCATGTGTAACTTTACAGATCAAAAGAATGGTAAAACATTAAACTTTTCACCATGGTGTTGTAAAGGGCGTGGGGTTTGGTCGCTGGCTGGCCCCATTAAAGAATTCCTAGTCTGTATATTATGATCTACACAACTCTTGATATGTACAAACATGTGAAGCTCCACATTTTGCAAGTTTTAAAGAACATGTGTCAGCCAGAGTGTAGGTAGATCTGCCATAACTGAGCCATTCACAGTCAGAGTTGGGAAGTAATAGATTATGGCTGGGATATTAGACAGGAAGAAGCAAGGGAGGGAATTGTTATCAGAATTATGGATAAAACTATTATTTTCAAACAACCTGACAGAGGTTATTATTCTTCCTGGAGCCCTGACACAGCACACTAAAGTCCAACAACCAGAAGCTATAAAGGGCAAAACCGATGATATATTCTGCACTTACTCACTGCTTCTGTTTGGTCTGCACTTCTCCTGTGATACCCTTTTAAAGTTTTTACATTAAGGAATGATTTTTCTATACAGTAGTACGTCATGACAGCGGCAGAGTCTGCAAGTTCTGTTGTACTTCTGACAAAACAGCTGGTCCAAGAGTGTTTGATGTGTGTCACCAGATCAACAAGATGGAAATCAAAAGGATTTCAAATTAAAATGATTTGAGGCTACAGGTTCACCAATTTACACCATCTTTTGGCTTTTTACTGGCATTCCCAGTCTCCTGACTCATCTACTTCTCCTGCACTTCAGCCAGTGATTTCCAGCATTTCAGAGAATGACTCTCAGCAGAGTACGAGTCTGAACGTGTTGTATTCTGCTGTTTTATTGTGGAGGTGGAGAGTATCAGTGCTAGAAACAGACATACAGTAGTAAGAGCAAAGGGTTGGCTTATTCCCAGGCAAGCAGCGAGTGTGAGTTGTACCCCTTTAATGAACATGAAACCTGATTCGTCGTTGGGCTATAGTCCTTTGAGTACACTGCGGGCGGAACAACTACACTTTCTGCCTCCAAATATTTCTCCCTGACTTTTTTTTCCAAATTAGTAACTTTAGAAAGAAGCCTGTGCAGTGTGAGTGCGTGGGATCGACACCAAAATGTGAACTTGTTCTAGCAAGTTACATTTTTAACTCCTGTTAAAAACTCCATAATAGCTATGCTGGAAATATCTCAACATAATGATGTTACACCATCTATATTTAGTGCATTTTCTGCTGGAGCCAGTGAAATCTACCACCAAAAAAAAGGGACTCAGAACTGCAGTGACAGCTATTTCAAAAACATTTTGGCACATGAAGCGTCACTGTCTGAATAACACTGTCCGATAACAGTGGAAACAGTGGAAGATAAACACAGTAGTGAGCTCAAGCAGCCATTTGGAAGAAGCACAGAACATGTGGACACCAGCCCCGCCGAGAAACGGACATCGCTTTCAGGAGCTGTTTACAACTTAAGTGACTGCACTGCCGACTGTCTAGAGGGTACACTGCTCTCCTATCAACCCACAGCCCCGCACACAAACACACATCATACACCTGCAAAGCAACACCTTGCTGAAGTGGCATTTAAGCTGTTGCATAATCCTTAGCAACCTGAACACACCAACTATAACCCATGACAGATTACACCAAGGTGACATCTTCGTTAAATGTCTAAAGGTCAGAACACAAGTGCACTGCAGGAATATAATGTGTATCTGAAGTAGTGTAGTGTCTTTAGAAAGCCCAGTTATCTAATCAGCATTGTCTGGCCCTTACAAACTCTCCTCAATTTACTGAAACCATTATACAAACGTTTATATGTAATGAGGTCCTGAGAGTAACTGAATTTTAATGGGTGGTTAAGAGTAGTTAAAGTAAATAGGCGTCACATTTCTTCACTCCATGTCAAGGCGACTAATGTCTTTAACACTTTAGGTGCTGTTGTTTGGTCTGACCAGAGTTGGAACTCTTGCACAGACAGATAACCTCCTCACAATCTGGGAATCTGCCTCGGACTTCTTCAGATTGGGAAAACCAAAGCGCTTTGGGAAGACACTTCCTGTTTTGATTTCCCAGACACATCTTTGTGATTACACCAGAATGTAAAATGACTCCCTACAATTCAAAGACCAGACAGTATGTGGAGTATATACAGCAACAATGAAGTCACTACCCTCATTGCATAGTGCTTATGATCCATCACCAAGCTATAAAGCTAGAAATTTGTCAGGTGCTCTGTTTTTACAAAACTGTTTTTAAAGTTTGCTTAAAGGACCAACCCAAAGCTGAGTCCATGTAACACACATCCTGCCACTGTTGACTTTCTGGCGCAATCACAATGTCTGTTAAGTTTACCAAAGTGCCTTATCATCACCCTCACAATAACATATTCAGCAGAGATCTTTTTACAAAACAGCAATATTTTTCAGTACGCAGCAAAGCCAGGGTCGGTCCGACCCATGAGAAGTTTAAATAAACATTAAGCATTTACTGTGAAGGCCTGTGCTGTGTGAAGCAAGACAGCTCTTCGCCTCTAAAGCGTCTTTCTTATGTGCCTACTGTATGTGTTTCCATGTACAGTCAGCCTCATTCTCACTCTTAAATCGACTCACTCCACTTTCCTCTGGGAACTAGCTGACTTCTGTGTTACTGTTTTAGACAAATCTAGCTGCGAGCACTGGCTTGATGTGTTTATTTCCCCACTGGGAGTGGACTCTTGCTGGGAGGAATGGAAAAAGGCCATCACTATATCGCCTGCACATCTGAAAATATCCACCTGAAATATAAGACCCTCCCTAAATGAGTGTTCATGTGTTTCAACATAATAGTAGCTTCTGCTGTTTGATCAGAAGCATGAAATTGCAGAGAAAATCAAGAGCACAAATTGAGAAAGCTCTTAAAAGCTATGGCAGGATGTTTCCCCATATGCTGAATGCATTTCACAAACCTGGCAGAGGGACAAAACCAGGCACTTAAACACATCATGTAGAAGTGAACCAGCATGTTCCCAAATTTCACATGTAACAGACATGTTTGTACAGGACGCTGACAACGAGACTGGTAAGGAAGGCTTTAGAAATGAATTCCATGTACCAACCACACCTCAGAGCCTTGTCCAACACTGACCACAAGAACGCTCCGTTTGTCTAGTAGCCTGGTTTCATAGCTGTTTATTAAGCTGAACGACGACCTGCTACTTAAAATGGCAATAGCAGAGCACCGAGTGACCTTTCAGAGCTCAGTGGAGCCATCGCCGAGGACGTTAGGACTTGAATTGAGATGCACCCCTCTGTGGTTGTTGTATAGAAAACACATCTGATTTAAGGCTGTGGGGAAACAATTCCAGCAACTCTGATCAAGCCTCAGAGACAAACACAGACATTACATACCGAAATCCTTGCGTAATCCTGAATTCAGCCATTTAGAAAAGTGAATAAACAATAAGCCACAGCTGACATAAATAGCAGTCAGCTGTCTGCGAATCAAACGCAGATTATCTTGCTGCAAAACCGAGGAAATGGCGATAATATGAGACTGCAGTTTATAACAGACTGACAGATTTGAGCTGTGCTGCGTGGAGGGAAAGCACTGAGCCATACCTCTCTTTCTGAGATAACGCCGAGTTGATGGTGTAACCTCGGGTAAGGCAGAAAGATGATCTCCTGGACCAGATTAACGGAGAGATGGCCAGCAGGTCAGGCGTATGGCGAGTAGGAGGAGACCTCTAGAGGGGTGATGTCCATGTCCGACGTCGAGGTGGAAACATTTGACCTGCTACCGTCTCCTGCAGCGCCTGAGATTTGGTGAAACACCAGCAACTATCGGCGGAAAACAAACAGCACAGCGGATAAACAAACAAACCAGAGGAAAGCACAAGCTGCAGCTGACACTCTGCTGTCTGTTGTGTTAGACGGTGGGGGTGTTAGTGCACCGGAACAGCGGTCTACTCTCGGTTAGTGCGCAGCGTCCAGCCGTCAGCTCTGCTACACGCACGCTGAGAAAAGCAGCGGTGTGTTTACCTCTCCACCGCTCCTGTTGCCGTGCTTGGTAGGAAATCGGCTGCTTGGCACCGGAGGAACGCCATTTGTGTGAGACAGCCTTCCCGTGTGCTGCCCTATGCTGCCGCTCGGAGGAGAGCGCAGCACCTAGCACCTTTTCACACAGGACACCGCCCCCTGCTGGCAGAAGGCTGACATCGCCTCTTTCTAAGGGTCGCTTCAAATTTCCTTAAACATTCAGGATATTTTCACTTCAACCGTCTAGTTGAGTCAAGCCTTGCAGAGTCACAATTAAAATATTACGTTATTAGTTTGTTCCCAAAGATTCTCTGTAGATTTTTTTTTTACCAAAACATACGATGATTCATTTTCTCCCTCTGCTGTGTTGGCATGGATGCAGAAATCTCACATGCCAATATCTAAGCACCTGTGCAAGTAACGCCCAGCAAAATTATTCAGTTCGCAAAACGAAACTCAGTGTCTCAGTTGCAGGACTCTCAAGAGAAACCTCAGTTAAATGTGGCGTAATCCCTCAAATGACAGTGTTTTGAGCTTGTTTCTTTTGTTTACTTGGTTTATAGACAACATTATGACACAAAACAACAATGTCAGAAGGTGTTCATACAGTACACTGGCAATATTAAGACAAATACAACGATTCACGATTACAATTCACATATAAATTCTCATTTTCCAATGAAAGGTAGAGTGCAAGAATACCAGTGCTCCACTGTAGTGGAATGCCATAGGAAGTTAATGCTTCATTTAAAAAAATATAAATACATTTTAATCAAGCGATTGTGACAAATACTGTATTTTCACATTGGTATATAGCTATTTATCAAATGTCATGGCCATTAGACCAGCTTATAAAATGTTTATGATGTAAAATAGACCCATAACTATGTTTTCTGATCATTTAGGGTGCAAACAGCAACAATATGAAATAAAATGAAAAGTTTTTAATCTAAAATATTTTATGAAGCACAAATAAGCAACCATGCCTATCTTTAATAATATAATCATATGTTGAAGCTAATGTTTTTCAATAAGCAATGCGTTAAGTTTTAAAAGTAACAAACATAAATAAAAACATACAAACTGCACAAATGATCAGTACGGTCACACTTCACCAGTCTAACTTCATGTCAGCTTTGCTCCACACATATTTCCCTCCTCTCTTCAGAAACATCTTCTCATCAAAGCCACTGAAGCAAATGGCTTCCTTCACACCGACATCAAGGATGGACTTGGACGGGTCCTTTCTTCCTTCTCGACAGTCCAAGAAACGCATCTGAAAAGTGAATCAAGATGAGTCAGAATACCTGTGTATTCCGTTCATTGAATGACCTGTAACTTCGAGGGAAATGCTTTTATATTTTAAACACAAGTATAAACTAACTCTTAGCAAAATGGAAGAGTCACACCAACAGTTAAATTAAAGATGATGTGGCCTGCAACAGTAGCTATCTTAAGAGGAGTGTGTTTAGTCCGTAGACGATGTAGAGCACTTACATATTCGTCCAGGATTAGGTAGGAGTTCCTCATCTGTGAAGACAAGGAACAAGACAGATTCAAATTTTGTCTCTGGTAGTTCCAACAACCAAGCTGCCAACATGTTGGTCCACTCCAAACAGAAGATATATTTTGACAGTATTACTACCGACAGAGGGCTGGGTGAACTAGTGTCTGCCTCTGTACATTTTGTTTGGGTCCTGGCAGACAGTACAGTGATTGTATGTTCACACACTTGTTTCAGTTCCTTGAGAACCTGGACCTTAATGAGTCGGCTGAGTGCCAATATCCTGGACACTCCACTTATGAGACAGTAATGAAGTTTCTCTGTGCATTTCAATGTCTGTATAGCTGCTGCCACCATTTACAATGCCATACCTTCTCGTTGGACTCCGGAACAAGACAGGAGGTGCTGCTGTGTCTATCCAGAAACTCCTGAAACTGTTGGTCGCTAACGACGAACCTCTCAGCCTCTCTCAGGGCTGTCTCTCCAGCATTCTCCCCATCAATCAACAGGCACTGGAAAACCTTAACACAGAAAGCAGAGGCAGTGAGGAGCAGGAGGATACACACAAACAAACAAACCGACCCTTTCTCCCTATTGTTACCTTCCAGCGGACTGGGTTAAGGTCTCTGATGTGCTCCGTCATGTCTTCGTCAATGTTGAAGGTATTGATGACTGAGTTGATTTTGAATGCCACTTTATACTGCTGGCACCACTTCCGGATCATGTAGAGGTTGTCGATGTGGCTCTTCCTGCCCTGCACTCTGCCAATCAGCCGGTTGGTTGCTTCATCAAAACTGTCACAAGAGATGGCCAAGATGTCCAGATAGTCACCTGAAGGAGGGAGAGAGAGCATCATTTTGAATATTCTGCATAAAATTAATGTTAGTCCTATGAAGTTAGAAGGTAACTTATGAATGCAATAAGGAATCTGTCTGAAAAAGTTGAAGTTGATTGGATTAGTCTCTTACCATATTTTAGGAACCATTTTTCCTTGATCATGCTCCCGTTGCTTACGATGCTTACACTGGGGAGCTGCAGGTCCAGTTTACAGTACTGAACTAATTTCCCCAGAAACTCTCCTTTGTCATGCAAGAAAGGCTCTCCTCCAGAAAAGTTGATCTTTTCCATGCCTAATAATAATAAAAAAAAAAACATAAAATCAACAGTGTACAAAATCTTTGATACAATATAAAAGAACATATGATACAATCTGATATATTTACCGGATTCCTTCAGAAGTTTGAGGCCCCTCTTGGCTTCCTCTAGAGGCAGGACAAAGGATGTAATTGCAGTGTGGAAACAAAATCCACATTTATAATTACACTTGCGTGTAAAATGATAGTTGACACTTGTTGGAGTTGTTGTATTTTGGATTTTCCCTTCGTCCAGCTCTCGGTCATGAGTTGAAACAGGTGCCTGGATTCCCTTACAGGCTCCTGCTTTCCAGTAACACATTTTTGAAAAGAGGCTGGTAATAATGCAGCACAGGGTGCTGATGAAGAGCTGCAGCTGACTCTTCAGAGACGCCATAGAGGAGAAAAGCATCTTTAAACCGACCACACTATAGTCTGTTCACACCGTTTATGTGCACACATCTTATATAGGCGGACACAGGGCACACCTTTAAGAGGAGGACCCGTCAGCTGAGCGGCTTGACTTTCTGTTTACAAAAAGTGAAACACATGGGAGTTGCAGGGAGGTGATAAACAGAGGTAGGGACATTGTGATAAAATGCAACACATCAGGTGGAATGACACAGATAAATTGCAAGTGCCACACCCCATGATAACGATGATGTTACTCCTGATGCCTTCGCGTATTTGTCCCGACTGATCATAGCTCGGGTCCACTTTCTGTTCGACTCAGGAGAGTGCACGCGCGCGTACATTACATTACTAAAATTAGATTAAGCATGAAATGAAACTGTACCCAAGTACAGCAGCTACTTAGGTAAATGTAATTATTCACGTTCAACCACTAAATGTCTGTAAAAACAACTTGGAGTCAAGGCTTAGGTTCATGTTAAATCAATTCAATCAATCAATAAAGCATCAGCTGTAACTTGGCGGTGCACGTAAGTTTCGTTTTCCCTGTTTGGCGCTGTTACTTTCGTTTTCCCAACAGCTTAAGTAACCGCTCTCAGCTGGTATCCAGATACGGATCGGCGCGTTTCGACTTACTGTCAACAGGTTATGGCTATGGCGCGGCGCGCAATGTCTCTCCTTCCCCAGTGGCCATCTCGTGTTTTTTCAGTGGAGCTGGATGGAGCGCCCTTCTATTTTGCAATCCAAGAAAAGCACCGGGGAGAAGAAGTGCCTCCGGTGTTCCAAAGAGTACAGGAATATTACAGATGTTACTCTCTCTTCGTCTGCAGCAGCGACAGAATCAGAAGAGCCATGTTTTACGCGGAGCTGAAAGACAAATTGTTACGGGACTTGCCACCAGAGTGTGATTTATCCCCCATGTCCTCATTTCTGCCAAACGTCAAGGATTCTCTCATCAAGGGCTATTTCTTAAAAGACAATTCAGACAGTTCCTCCCCGATAGAGCGAGTTTTGCGAGATTTAATACAGCGTGATCCAGTGTTTGTGTGTTCGTACCTAAGAGGTGATAACTGTCAACTGTGGACTCAGCATCTCTGGCCACATACAGGGAGCCAGGTGATGGAAAAGTCAAAGGAATACTACGTGGTGCCCTCAGAGGCGCCAGAATATCATCCAGCTACTCTCAACATCATCAACTCTGATGTTTTCTACAGTTTGGAGGAAGCCTGTGATGTTCTAAAAAAGGTTCTTATATAGTCTCATACAATATGAGAGACCTGTTTTACAGTTAATATAAACAGTGCTGAAATACTGCTTATTTTGAAAAAATATGGCTAACTGGCGCCCTCATGTGGTAGAGTTAGTTATAGCAGTGAATACCAAGTTGCCCCAAACATTTGCCTCATCCGTTTATCTCTTTGCCAGATGGCCCACAGTAGGGTGTGCCTATATGTGCACCACAGTCTATGACTCTCTCCTGCGTCCTCTCACAGCAGCAAACTAATCTTGTCTGTTCTGCAGTGTGGTGACATCATCCCAGAGGCGACATCTATACTGGAGCTGCTGCCCAGCCGAGCGCAGGCCAGAAGCAAACCAGACTTCCCTGTTATTGTCATAGAGGGCCTGGATGCCACAGGTTAATGCCATTATCTCATAAATACATGTGATCAGTTCTGATGTGTAGATGTCTCGCTAAAGCGATGGCTGCTTGCTCTCCGCTAAAGTCATTATCCTCCAGTGAGATTCGTCTGATGGAATATTGTGTATCATGACCTCACAAATATTACATCACTGTGAGAATGGTTTATTTAATAGATCACTCATCTAATACTCTTTGCAAACCTCCTGAAAACTCAACCATGTATGTAGGATGAGAGATTTAGGTCAACTTTTCAAGTGTCATGTGAGTCCCTTATAAGGTTTAAGGAAAAAAAAAAAAAAAAAGACATTCAACCGTTTGTGCTCTGAAAATACGCCCAGTCTTTTTGTCTCTTCTTTTCTGGTGAGGTCTGTCTCTTCTCATCACAGGTAAGACCACTCTGACCAAATCTCTGAGGGATATTCTGAGAGCCGTTCTAGTGCCTTGCCCTCCCCAGTGCCTGTACCCCTGGAGGGCCCGCTTTGATAAGGAGCCACCCCTTATCCGCAGGGCCTTCTATGCTCTGGGGAACTACATCACAGCAGAACAAATAGGCCAGGAGGCCATGAAGACACCTGTCATCGTTGACAGGTAAAGACAGCTGACGCGGTGCTGGTGGAGTAAAGTTTGCCTGTGTTGTCACCTTTTTTTTCTTGTAAAATGTAGTGGAGGATAGAGGGGGCAGTAAAACTCCTTCCAAAGGGATCTAGACCTGTAATTCAATATTCATCTCTTAGTCTACCTGCTGTATGAGGGTAGTCATCTGATCATCCATCCATGCATCAATCACCTTTCGGTCCACCATCCATTATCTATCTCCAGATTCTGGCACAGCACAGCAGCATACGCCATCGCCACAGCAGTGAGCGGCCCACCGTGCAACCTTCCAGCTGTGGGTTCGGAAGTATACAACTGGCCCAGTGACCTGCTCCAGCCCAACCTGGTGGTCTTACTCACTCTGGACCCTGAGGAGAGGAAGAGGAGGCTGATGAACAGAGGTCAAGGAAAAACTGTGGAGGAGCAAGAGTTGGACCACAACCGGCTTTTCAGACTCAGGTGAGATAGTTCGATTATATGTGGATAATATATCATTTGGATACACACAACTTAAAGTTTATGATTTGGCATTTAAAATACTGAGTGGGACTGCAACTAGTGATTATTTTTATTAGCAATTATTCAGTTGATCAATAATTAATTTAACAAATGGTTAAAAGTGCTCATGGTGATTTTTCAGAAACCTGAGCTTGTTATCATTTTCTGGCCATTAACTAATTAATTAATAGACATTGCCCTTTTAGCACAAACAGTCTATTTACTGTTCTGGAAGCAAGTTTAGAAACAGTCAGTGGTTGAGTTCATTTAATTGTTTACAGTATAAATAATCTCGTTTCAAGAAATGTCTTTAATTGTAAGGTTCATCATAGAGTTGTTTTATGAGAAAAATACAGAATCAAGTTTAACTACACTAAAAACTGGTATTTCATCCAAACTTTCCACATATTTTAGGAAAAATACAGTTTTGACTGAAGGCCTAAATTATTTAAGATGGACATTTTCTGTTTGTAAATGTTTGGGTGATCCCAAATCCACAAACAAAAATAAATATGTCTGTTTGGTACTATAGACAGATATTGTTGCGCAACTATAGTTTTTTATAATAATGGTGTAGTCTGATCCACCAAACTACTCGGGCATGCCAATTCATCCTCCATCCTGGGGTAATGACCTTTCCACATGGGGCGTCCAGATGTTGGGCCAGCAGAACTGTTAAATGAAGGAAAATGACAGTCTGTGGTTGAGAGAGTGGGAGATTCTGCAGACTTGGTCGATCATTTCCACAAGAACTACTCTTCATTTGTCTCAGGAAATGGCTGCTCCGTGCACCATCTGTGTTGTTTCTCATTCTCAGATGTGCGTTTTTATCGCTGTCCTCATTGTTTGCCAAAAATGAGAGCTGTTAAAATGCTCAAACTCACCCTGAAAACAGATTAAGCAATGTAATATAAAGTATTATTTGCTATGTCTATATGCATGTTTTCTATTTGTTGACCAATGTGTTTGTGTGTCTCTGCAGAGTGGAGGAGGCTTACCAGAGGATCAGTGGTCCAGCTTGTGTCACTGTGGATGCTAGTCCTTCTGCAGACCAAGTGCTCCAACAAGTGCTGCTTTTAATTAGGGGCAAATGCCACTTGTAAACAGTCCTCCATCTCCCCTGCTGGCAGCCAGGCATCAAGTGGATGCAGTACCCCCTTTTACCACTAGGTGCCAGTAAGGTGTTGTGAATGTGACAGCAGGAGGAAGGAACGAGGGCCAGACTGGAGTGTGAGGAAGAGATTCTATGCAGAACGAGTAAAGGTTGAATGGCCAAGGGTCAGAGCTGCATGCTACAATGAGAAATACATATTCATGCGCACACACACACACACACATATTCATGATTAGTATTGTCAAGAAGAAGTGTGCATTTAACTGCTGTTGTGACCTCTCAGACTGTGTAGTCCTGAGACACAGAGTAGCTGCACTTATCGACAACCACTTGTATGTGAATTGACACTAGAGAAATGGGTAGAAACATTTATGTAACCACCAATCAAGCAATATTTCACTTGTGTGCATGAACAGGAAACATCTGGAAATGTACTATAGTCCTACAAAAGTGCAAACTTTAAAGAAACTACAATGTATATCGCTGTTTTTACAGGTATTCACAAGCACACACTAATGTATCTAAACACAAGCAAGCATATTTATGTACTATATAAGCATACAGTAACTCATTTATATATGGATGAAGTGTATATTTGGTCTATGTGATGTGAAGATTAATTGGGGATTTTAGTAATTATGAGCTTGGCAAAGCTACAGGCTGGAGAAGACAGAGTAACCCATCTTTTTTTACTGTGATGCATCAGCAGAGCACCAACCACTGCAGACCCTATTCATATGGCAATTAATGGAGCACTGTATATCAATGTCAGTCCAGTGCTCCCCTTCATAAGTGCATGGATTACTCCTACTACCAATTACAGAAATGCAATGTTTTACTGAGTGGAAAGGTGCTGGGGATAAAAGACCTGCCATCACATGCAATCACATAAACCCATAAGGTGTCATTATATTTATGGAGCACAGATCCCCACATGAGCTAAGTATCTGAGGTCAGTTTACTGAATTCATAAGTTCTCAGCTGCACAGTGATGCTACGGATGTGCTATATGACACAAAATGAATAAAGCTTGGACCTGTGTGGAATTTTGATTGCCATTAACGCAGTAGCCTCTGTCTCAAGAGAGTCCAAAATTTATGAAGCAGGAGAGCAAAGCAATTAGGCATTGCACCATACATCACACCTGAATATAAAGTTGTGTGCGCCCATGGTGTCAGCCATATTTCCATGTCAGATGTTGTTATGCTTGTTATTCTTGGCGACAAGAATATGGTGATTTCATGCCATTACTGCCCCTCAGCATTACTGTAATATGACATTAATGGCCCACAGTACATTACACATGCGCTGAAATAATTCTCTTGGCATTTGTTAATAGTGTTTTTCCTTTTTGAGACATGAGGGACTTTTTTAGTTGTTTTTGTCAGATGGCCAGGGTACACTCAGTGGTCTTAACAACAACAACAACTCAGTCATTCACACACTGAATGCCAGTGTTTCAAAGCTGAACTGGGGTTTGAGGAAAAAAATTAAAAACTAATACCTTCTCCTTCCAGTCTGTGATCTCACTACTGAAGTTACAAGATAAAAGTCCCAGCCACATATAAAGAAAAACTCAAATCTGAGAGCTGCAGGAGGAGTTATAGACACATGTCCATACACCCAAAAATACCATACACTTACACTGCATGGGCAGTAGCAGACGAGCACACACACACACACACACACACACACACACACACACACACACACACACACACACACACACACACAATACACCTCACCCTGCATGGGGCCACTTTGCACTACACTCCTCAACTTCAATATTTCATCTGCACAACAGAGAAGGAGCAGTGGAGACGAGGAAAGCCCTCCATGAAATAATTAAAGATCCAGCAGGGATGCAGCAGCACAGCAGCCGCCATCCCATCCTAAGTAATAGATCAAATGAAAGCTGTCCCTCAGATCATTAATAATGAGACTGGTATGGAGACTGGGGGTGTGGGGGTGGGAGGGGGATAGGAGGGCATAGGGCTGGTACAGGTTGGGGGAGGGAGAGAGGGCATCAAGGAAGCACAAGGTGTTTTCGTGTGTGTGTGTGTGTGTGTGTGTGTGCGTATGGGGGGGACTGTTTGAACATTGAACAGTAGTCTGCATCCCCTGGCAAAGACCCCAGTGGGCCTCACTTGGCAGCCACATGAAGCGGCATGGCAAGAGGAGTCATGCATATGATTTGGCACCAAGTGTGCCAAAGACCCTACAGCAATGTCTATATACATCTCTTGTCAAATAAACAACATTTTCTACAGTGACTGGGTAGGTTAGCAGGGAATAATAATGCTCTTTTCAATCAGTGGAGCCTCTGAGCAGTGACTGGATATGATGGTGGATTTTTGGGTGAGCTGACTACAGGCAGAGATGGGCTGTCTGCGATGGGGGAAAGAGGGATATAAAAGAGGGGAAAGGAGCCCAGGGGTAGACTGGAATTGGAGGGGAGGATTGGAGGGAGGGGTGCAGACAAGAGTGAGGGGAGATGCTGCTGATGTTATCATCTGTGAGCTGAAGTCCCTGTAGATTACTCCAGCTGGCAGGTGCAGTGCATTTCTCAAATACTATCCTCACAACCAAATAGAGCATTCCCCAGTCTACTCCTAAATACCAACTGAGGTCCTTCTTAAATATTCACCATCCTCAAATTCCTCAGTAACTGCTACTGTAGAGTAGCAGAGGTTGTCTGTAAAGGCATCACATCGAATCAAATTCAAAGTATGTTTCTAAGGGCACTTAAGATTAAAATAACTTGTTTAGCCAACCTCATACGTTAAAGACTTAAAAACAAGACTAAGTTAAAATATTGAGTTTTTTCCAAATAAAACTTATTTACAGATGCTTAGCCATTGGGGAAATGCTTGAAAAATGGGGTAATAAGCAGTGTGGAGTGTGTAGACTTTGTAAGAAAGAGGACAAAACTGACAACTGGACAAATTCTGAACAATATTGTTATTATGATGGGAAAGTACTTTATATTTAAAAGTATAAATAGACAACACTTAAATATAGAATGTTTTAAAATGATCTGGTGTTTTCTAGAAAAGCTTTCAAGTAAAAAACTAAAGGCCAGAATTTAAACTTTGAAGGTGGGTGGAATCTTCTTAGTCAACGTGAAGAGTGGGATTAAGAAAAATGTAGAAAACTTTGCAAATGATGACAAATAGCATCGAGTTATCCTTTTATTCTCAACAAAAATAACATAACTGTCTTTTTTGCAAAAAAGTGATACTTTAATTGTTTTGCCTATTTATTTTTTCCCTTTTTCTTTTCAGTGTGGTTTGTTCTTGGTGGCTTTTTTAAAATCCCTTAATGCATACTAAATATATGATTGGTATTTAAAAAAAAAATCCAGCAGACTAAATTAAAGCACATAATCATCTGCTCCTGCTTCTCTGATCCACGCTTCCTGCCAAAACTTTGTCAAACTGATCTCCTGTAGCATTTGTCCCCCTGGCACACGTTCCTGTAGTTGCCCACATAAACACGCCACATGCATACACATCCCTACCACATCCCTCTGAACCCAGCAGGTGGTGGCAAACACCCCAGCATCAGAATGAGGGGTGGCAGGTTGTAAAAATAGGAAGGGTGCAGGAGCTAAACTGATCAGTGGTGAAATGTTTCTTGAAAACAGACAGCAAAGCCCAAAATGAGGTGGAAAAGGCAACAGCGAGGCAGAGATGGAGGAATTACTTTGTCATGTGAAGAAGAAAAAAAAAAAGTTTAGAAAATATCCCATCAAAAAACAGATGTATAATTCATCAGCTTCTCATCATCATGCTCACCCTTTGTCATGGTGTCTGAATACTTACTTGCAAGGGGCAAAGACAGCACCTCTGTTGATAGGTGAGGGTATTAGGCACAGCAGGCTGTGTATTCAGAACGCCATTATATATTCAGGTTGTGCCTATTTTCTGATGTTTTCAGGGGATAGGCGTTGTATAGTCTGTGATGATTGCATGAAAACTCACCAGCTTTGCCTGGCGGCTGTTGGGGAGGTTTCACCAGGAACGGTTAAATATTTAAACACCGCTGTGAGATCTCATTAAAAACGGCACATCAGCCCCCACAAGGCCCCTACAGCACACCGTAACACACTCCCTGAAAACCCAGTTAGGACTCAGTGGAGTGTGACAAAACAGTTATTGTCTATTTACAGTTGGGATCTTTTGATAAATCACCATATCCTGTCAAATAAGGCAGCTGGCAGTAGCGTTGACGAGTTGTAAATCATATCAGGAAAGAAAATGATTGAGATTCAGTTATGTTTTGACAGCTGCAGACAAGCAGAAATATGCCAAAAACTAAATAACACAACCAGGACTAATGTTTCCATAGCGCACACATGAAAACAAGACAGAGAATAAACTTTGGCTCTCTGGAGTCTTCTTGCCTTCTCACAAAATCTGGGCAATTAATTCCAATGCTATTGTTTGGGGCTTCCCTATTTTTAGCCTGGCTGCCCTCTCAAATAAATTGATTTCCAGTGGTGAACTTGGAATATTCCTTCTGCGCCATGTTTTTTTTTTTTTTTTGCCTTGCAAATACGCAAATGCAGTCGTTCTTCCCCCAGAGGAATAAATCAAAGGCGATAGTGCCAAGTTTTACACAGCTGAGTATGTGCATCTGTTTCTATACTTGAAAATGGTTTATTTTTGTTTCAGTTCCATTAATGTTAAGGCATGTCTCCTCCTTCAGCAGGCATCGGCATACAGCTGAGAGGCTACTTGTTTGACGGGCAAATGGCTCTCAAAACATGAGAAACTGAGGTCTGTTTTTTTTTTTGTGGTACCTACCACAGAAATGCTAGCTAGGTCAAACCAGACTAAGCTCTAAGATATTCTAAGGAAGATATTCAGCACTAAGTAGAGCACCTTCATCCTTGATTCTTGTAACGGTATCAAGAGAGTCACTGGTCTATATGTGTCAGTTAGGAGAGCAAACATTTGCTCAGCATCACTGGGACAACTCTGCAAAAATGCACCACAAGTTAACCTAATGCTGTTAATTCAGTGTACCAAATGCTTTTTTTAAGTTGAGTGTGTAGTGTGCATTCATGACTGCTTTTTCTAAAACCAGATGACCTGGGATTTGGTGAGGCTTACGTTTCAATTCCTGTCACTCACTGCCGCTGTCACAGATTGCAGTGTGAGGAGTAAAAGGTTGTAAATAAGGCCTTTGGGGTGTGAAAACAGATAGTGATATAAAGACAGAAAGAGAGAGAGAGAGGCAAAGAGGACGGAAGCAGAAAGAGACACAAATGAGAGAAACATACCACTAGATCCCAGTTCCTTATCCTGACTAAGCCATCTGAATCCCTCTACATCCATTTAGCTTGCTCACTCTGTGTCTCTCCTGTGTGAGCTGAGGTGCCTGCTCTACATTCTTCTCACTTGCACCTTGGAAAATATTGAGTTTATAGCCACTCATCTCCATAATAAACACCATATACCCAGCAGCCTGCAGGAGCGACTGCACGCTAACAGGGGAAAAGGATTCAAACTGGCTTTACCTCTCAACTGTCAACTCTTCCCACAAGTCACTCCTCTGCCTTCCAAAAAGACTTTAGTCAACAGTCCCCAGGGACTGATATAAGGGTAGAAATGTTTTCATGAGTCTTAGACCTACTCATTTTTAATCACTTCCAGTGCTGTCCACCTCTGATAAGAACATTTTAATAGTCAGGCCTCTGGTCAACCATGCTTTGAATACAATATGAAGAATGGGCATTAATGTAAACGAACTACCATCTGATGCTTCCAGTGTTCACTGTCTTCTAATGTGTATCTTAATTTGCAGCCAGTCAGTTCCTCAGGTCTTAATGTGGTGCAAGGTGCCGTGACAGAAGAGCTATGAGACCTCCCTTTCTGAAAACAACATGAACAGTTTTACACAAGTAAACTGCTCTAAAAACTGCAGGAACAAAAGAAAAAAGAAAGAAGAAAAAATAGAAAAACGTCTTTGCTTCCAAACACCATCTGCAGAGCCAAGTGATCGTGTAGCTGGCTAGAACCTGGCTAGAGCAGTTATCCATCTCG